TATATATAGTATACGTACGTATATGACTGGGACTCTCCTCATCTCAAACATGTCTCTTCAAAAGCTCTTTGGTCTTTCCATTCCCTCCATTCTCCACCCACGGGCCGTTCCCTCTCCGCCTCCGCCTCCGCCAGCACGTGGCCGTACCACCGGAGCCCTGGCTGGTGAGGAGCCCAAGAATCGAATGACCGGTGACCGTGAGGAGGGGCGGTCACAACCGTGGGTCAAGCGGTGTTCCGCACCGACAGAGACAACCAGAGGAAGGGGGGCAGAAAGGGGGCCGGGCCGTGATGGTGATCATGATCGTTTGCATCGAAGTTCGTTCACATTCTGGGAAGAATGACTATAGCAGAAGTCTAAAATGTGTATCATGAAATCACAAGGGAATGACAACATTATGTTGGCATCATTGAAGTCATATGTAACTCTAACGTCCCCTGCCTCCTTGGTTTTCTGAGGGGTCTCTCCGACTCCACTTCTAAGACACGCCCATATTTTGCTGATCAATCATGATGACGTTTCTCATTGGGATTGTTCACTGAATATGACCCTACTGAGGTTCAAGATGGTTCAAGTATGTTTGTTCTTAGCCTTCAGTTCAGGAGCACAGAAGCACAGAAGCACAGAACTCCTCGGGCGCAGGAACCTCCTTCTCGATCCGAGTGGTACCTGGTATACCTCGATCATTGGTCTCTCGCCCATCCCATCCCGCCGCTTGGCCGCTTCCAGGCGACGGCGCTGCTGTGGCGTGGGCAGCGCTTGGGGTTGAAGGATCCCATGCATCGGAAGCTGCTGAGGCCGTACCTCCCGAAAGGCGCCCGACTGGCGCCTGGCGCGACTGGCGCGACAGAGACCTACGCGGCGTCGTCGGTTGGGTGGGCCCGTGCCGAAAAGGGATGTGGCGTGTTGTTGAGTGTGCTGGTGAAGGTGCGGCGGTTGGGTGCCTCGAGTTGATCTGGTGTGGTTGGGAACTGATCAATGTGACGGAGTAGGGCAGTGCGTGCGCTGGAGGGCGGTCTTAGGGCCATAGTCTCACGGGTTTTGGGGTGAATCCGAGACTTTCCAAGACTTTCCGACTAGAAGGCCGTCTGCTTGCGCCGCTACTAACTAGGCCGCTACTACCTGGCGCCCACCGCGAAACACGAAATCCATGCACTCGGGTTCTCGACTCGGAGTCGACCGGTCTCCCGGTCTGGGTGGCTCAACAGACCTACCTCGGCAGGTCCCAAAGAAGGCCGCTTCCAGGAGATGTACTCCCTCTGGCGGGTGCGGACCGGGGATGTGGACCGGGGCATGGAGATGGGCGCCAGGTGATGTGGGGTGATTGTGGGTTCCAGAAACATGTTGGCTGTTGATCCATAAATGGGCCCATATGAAGGGGGTGTGAATATATCATCAACCGTCAACATGACTTTTACGCTCCTCTCACTTGAGCGTCATCGGGCATGTCCGGAGCTTTTAAAGGTTCTGCTTAACGTCCGGTGTTTTGGACCTTCGAACGTGAAGGAACCTTCGTCCTTGATCGCTGTTTACACTCGCACCGGCGGCGGTGAAACCCCCCTTCAGAGGCGGCTGGACTCTTCGAGGACTTGCGGGCTCAAGCAGCCAAGTCGCAGTCGGCCTCGGACTCAGGTGCAGGTTTTTGCGAGAAAGAATTGAGAAGACACGTGGCAGGCTGAAAAGACCCCCTGGTTTGAGCGTCTTTTACTTAGTTGTAAGTGTTTTGCCGCAGCTCTTTTTGAGTTACAACGGTTGGTTTCGGAGTTACAACGTGTTACAATGTGTTACATATAGTAGCAAGGCTTCGGGTGTCTAATCTTAGTAATTCTTTGGCACCTGAACATAATATGCCAGGCAGCGGTTTAGGTTTTTTGGGTCTACAGCCTCGCAGATCTTGTAGCCTATTTCCATCTATTTCCCATGTGCAAAAGACACTTCAGCACCTTGTCTTCGTATCCACGCGCTGAGGCGGACCTTGCCAAGGATTCCGACTATGACAAGTTGCTGGCGTATTGGATGACCAGGAGAGAGCTCGACTGACCAGTTGGTTTTGAGAGCGTTTGACCTTGGCGGTCCTGGCAGTCCCCTTGTCGTCACCTAACTGGAGTTTACGTTGAGCTATTTCTTTTATTAAATCCCATGCGCACCATTTCAGGTTTATGGCTTATTTATATATAGCATCTCATCATCAATGAACAATATAGTCAAGATGTCAATGACGTCATGTCATTTCTTTTAACGCTTGCATGCTCTTTCTTAAGGCCTGTTCCAGGTCGAAGCCTGTCACGTTTGAATGACTATGAAGCTCGGCTGGTCGGTTGGGATCGGATCTGTTCCCGGCGGCCCCTCGCCTCGTGAGAGGCTGAGATATCAGATCCAGCCGTGGCCGGCAGAGGCGAAGACGGCGATGAACTTCGCCATCGAAAGCTATGGCTTTGAGATGGCCCCTTGGGGTGAAAATGAAAGAGCGAGGAATGGGCGGATGATGGTGGATGTGGTTGTTCCATGGGCTGAATTGGATGTTCCATGGGCGGATGTCCACATGGTGACAATCGAAAGGCATGTCGTCCTGCCATTGATTCACAACTAAAGCCACTCTTCCAAACACCCCGGCCCAACGAAGTCACTTGGCGGTCCGACTCAGACTGTTCTTGGGTGGCTGAGGCAGATCCGGAGATCTTTAAGAAGTTAGAGGACCGATGCGGCGGTGGTTCTTTGGGTGTTTGGGAAGCTTCTCATAGTTACTAGTAAGGCCAGGAGCGCCCCGTTCGTAGCGTCCGATCGCTACTAGTAGCGATGCCCTTGTTACTAGTAGCTTCTTGTTTCTGCCTTTTGTTCTTAAGGAAGTCAGAAGTTGAAGACTGGATGGCCTGCCACAGAGGGTTTGGAAAAGGATGGACTTTTTCCCTCTCATGCAGGAAGGGCGTTATAAAAACTTGCAGTCTTTCATGCAGTCGGTGCATCTTCCACCATTTCTCCTCCAAGTGACATGGGAGCACCGGAATTGTCCACTGACCCACTGACCCCACATCGGGTACTTCGACCACCCACATCGCCCGTCCTGCGCCCCGTCCGACGGGTCGCTTCGTTCCGGGCTCGCTGCGCTCGTTGCGCTCGCGGCGCGTGCAGGACTGTGAAGAGTTGGACGAAGAGTTGCAGAGGGAGATGGACGAACTCAAGGGCTCGGTGCCACGTCCGGAGGGCTTTCGCGGAGGGCAGGGGGTTGGGGGTTGGCGGTGGTTGGTCATGGCGGTGGCCCTTGTTGTGGTCCACTTGTGGATGTGCTGCATGCATGTATGATGTGAATAAAGACCTGCGCCTGGCTTTGGAAGGCTGAGGATCTCCTATGTTTGCTGCACCTATATAGTGTTTAAATATTGTTTAAGATTTATACTCTCTCTCTATCTATATATATATATATCCCTGAAATTAACATGGAAGTGGATGTCATGGCCCCTTAGATGACCATTTTCCCATACCAAACAGATGGTGCCAGCCACTTTCATGTTACATGGGAGAGAGTAACATGGTCGTTTGAGAAGTCGGGGGATCAATATGGGGATCAATCAATGGCGCCAGGTGCTGGAGGCAGAAGAAGAGCGCAAGCGCTTTCCCGTGGAGAAGCTGAGCCTCAGCTGCTAGGTGATCTACAAGGGCTGGTCCCAAACACAGACACACATTCACGGAAGAGTTCCCGAACTCTTCCAGTTCGCCAAGCCGCTAAGCCCATCCAGGGATCATCCAAGTGACCTCATCCAGGGATCATCCAGGACGGAAGCTGAGAAGGACGGTCGACTCCGCCCTGACCGCGACCTGACCGTCGTCCGTCGTGCCATCGATCCGCTGTGATCGCTGAAGCGGTGACCCGACCTGAGGAACGACTTCGACTCCCTCTTCATTGGGCATAGCAACTTTCATGTGGAAAACCCCTTCCAACCCTGGGAGGACTGCCGCAGGCGTTGACGGCGTTGCCTCAGGCGTGTTTTGGTGGGGGCGGAGAGCAGCTTCTTTTTGGTCTCATGAGGGGTTCAAGCTGAAGTTGTGACATGAAACAGTTCATCCATCCAAGCGATTGCACTATCACATCATCACTGGATGTCATGATGATATTCTATCATGATCAGCAGATGAGGTTTCGTAGATCTTTGTCTCCACAGACACCCGTCGCGACGCCCTTGCTGATTGCAGCGTCAAGACACCTGTACACCCAACCTCATCCTGCCTAGCTGGCCCACACCAACTCCGAGAACCTCCGACGTTCCTGGTCGCAGACTTCCTCCGTGTCGGCTGCGCTTTCCGTCGTTCGGGGCGTTCGGGGAGGACACGAGCCTGGCGATCCGGAAGCGGTTCAAGGAGAAATGCCAACGGCCTCTCTACAACGACGTGGGCTTTTACCACTCCGAGGCCGGGTGTGATGAAGCAGTGGAACATGAAGCAGTGGTAAGCTGATAAGCATTAAAGCAGTCTTTTGTGAGAAAAACTGGTGCAGAATCAAGAATCAAGTCTTTGGAAGACCATTTGTGATCTTCTTACAGGGTTACAAGAGCGAATTGTATTTTTGGTGTACATTAGGTTCATGTTTGGCTTTGGCCTATCCATTGTACAATTGCAATGTTCATTTTGGAGGGGTTGTCAGCACTTTGCACAAGAGCGACATCATGTTTGTCTCACAACTATTCGCCGTCCAAATTGCATTCATGTTTCTGGGGCTGGAGATTGCAGCTTCTTCCAACCGTTCTGTGATTTCTCATCGGAACTCTGCGATCGCATGTCCATTCCACGCCAGTCTAGCGTTCCTCCCACCGTCCTCCGAGCGACGACCAGGATCTCCTACTCGATCTCCTTGAAGACCAAGGCGATGCCGAGGGCTTACCCTTGGCGCTTCAGGGGCAGTGCCTCGGACTAGAGGCTTTGTTACGGAGCAACAGCGTAAGACAGACCCACAGCTCATTGAATCAAATTCCGATTCCATAAGCAAACCTGGCCAGAACCTAGCGTTATAGTCAACACTCAGTCACACTCACTCTTACCACCCAGCTCTTTTTTGTTGCCTTCCACCTTCCCAGCCTTTGCGGCTCCCACGGCGCCGCTAGAGATCCGCCTGCGCCGCCAAGTTCGACCGAGGAGTCCCAAGTTCGACCTCATCGCAGGGGTTACCCTGGTCCTGGACGAGCCCATGTTGGAAAGGCCGGCGGCCTTCAACGGCGGTGGCACCGCGGTGCGTGTCCACGGCGGTGGCACCTTCGGGTGACGTTACGCTTGCGAGTCGCGAGTATCGAGCGAAACTCAGCTCGGTTTCGAGCCGATGCGACCTGAACTGTTTGGCTCAGTTTTGGGCAGCGACCTGAACTGCGCCAGTTCAATTGTTGTATTTTCTCCGCAGGATGTGGAAGTTGCTGAAACCTGGTGGTGTCATCATCTGGAACACTTGGTGGCGCTTCTGGGCAGCGACTGCTGGGACGGGTCGGCGGAGGGCAGTTGGCTATGGCGGAAGGGGAGAAGGAAGGGGATCCAAAAGGAATGGCTGAGTGGAAGGAAGTGAAAGACATTGAAAGACGTATTCTATATCATTATCATTCATTATCTATCTATCTATCTATCTATCTATAATTCTATCTATCTATCTATCTATCTATCTATCTATCTATCTATCTCTATCTATCTCTCTCTATCTCTCTCTATCTCTCTCTATCTCTCTCTATCTATCTCTATCTATCTCTATCTATCTCTATCTATCTCTATCTATCTCTATCTATCTATCTCTATCTATCTCTATCTATCTATCTCTATCTATCTCTATCTATCTATCTCTATCTATCTATCTATCTATCGCTACCACCCAAAGGATTGTTGTTGGATGGAATACACAGTCATGGGGGTCCAAAAAAAACACCTTATTTGGGCGGTGCTGCTTGATACCTGTTTTGCTTTTGGGCCCATGTTCGGCGGTTTCGTTGCTTTTATTACCTGGATCTTGCTGGAACCGGGTGCGGCCTATCCGGGTATGGTAGTAAAAACTGGGATGTCACACCGAGTTTCTGTGGCTTGGAATTTGCCTTTGGCTCAAACACTTGGTATCAGGTATCAGGTACACCATCCAAGTCTCACGAAATCTATCGCAAATTTAAGGTTGTTTGGGGTTTCTCGATCTGGAGCCAGTGATCTTCTTGGTACAAGTTTCATGTATCTTCTGTCAGCTTCTTCGCCCCACTTCTTCTTGTCTCAGGACACGAAGGCGGGAGCGCGACGCGACGTCGGCCCGTTCTCGTGGGCTCCGACCGGGGGTGCGGCGGGACGTCCCGGGGCCGCGGGGCAAAAAGGGCAGAGTGTCTTAGCGATGGCCTCCAACCTACTAGTGATGGCCTCCAACCTACTGGCGATGGCCTCCTACTAGCGATGGCCTCCACCCTTCACAGAAGACCCAGGCATGGGAAGTTGAAGATAGCATTAATTAACTAATAGAGTACTCGTCCTTCAAGTAGTAGAAACGATTTGACACAGGCTTTTGCCGATTTTGGACGGCTACCAAATGGGTGTTGCTAGAGTATCACTAAAGCACTGGAGAAGCAAGCTTGAGCCACTGCCCCCACACGGATCTAACTGCCAGCCACCTTCTCTCTCACATCATCATGATCGAGTTAGAAGCCTTAATTAACTTCACAGTGCAGTAACTTTCCCAGAATGTATTCCTATAATCACTTATGATTCACTTCTATATACAGTAGTAGAACTTATCGCAGCTAGATAATTAGTGACTCTGAGTGACTTCCTAGCGAACCACCGCGACCCTCACCACACTGACAACCTCGGCGGTCACCTCGCCACTTCTTCGCGATCTGCGCGCTTAGCGGTCTTCGCCAGGTGAATATCCCGGGCTTCGACCCAACCTGCAGAGTTTAGGCTACGAGGCAATGAAGGATGAGGAGCTCCCTCTGAGCTCGGGCACCCGGAATTCTCCTGCGAAACCGCTTGCGCGGTTTTTGGGAGGCGGAGGGAGGGTAGGGTAGGGAGGTACAAGCATGACTATAAGTTGAAAGAACCACCAACCGCGCAAAAACCGGTTGCTTGGAGTGCATCCTTGCTTCATCAACTGGTTACGTTCAAATTGGTGTCCAAACATGCCTACTTCCTGTTATACGTTCATACTCGTAGTCTTGTAGTGTACCATGTGTGTTGCAGACCCAGACACGACTAATGGGACTGGCAGTCCTGAATCCATACATAAGGGTGGTTGACCAGGGGTCCATGTAGGTCAATATGCCAGTCCCATGGAGTGGTGCCCGGAGAGGTGTTAAAGGTCTTCTTTCCGTTGTCCACGGTGCCCGGCATGCCGTCGCTGCCCAGGTTTCGTCACGTCGCCCTTCACACAGTCAGGCGCGGGCTGAGGGAGGGAGCAGCGGGGGTGAATGCATTTGGAGGTTGAGGTGCCGCGGTTCCGCCAGTGTGTCAGTCAGTCAAGTGCAATCCAGCTGAATTTGGCCAAAGGTCTTTAAAATCAGAACCTCAAAGTCCAATGGACGTGTCTTCTATGAGGAGGTCATATATGATGGTCCTTCAAGTTCGGACAGTCTGTCCGAACTGACCTGTAACAGTCTGTGAACAAGAACATCACGAGTCCAAAAGAGAGGGATGGAAAGGCTGCAACCAGGCCCCATCATCATCCACTGAAACCTGGGATCATGGGATTAGAGCACTTGTGTTTTTATATAGGAACATTACAAGAATGATGGTCTATCCCTAGAACTTGACCAACACAAAAAATATGTTGGTCTATCATGATGGTCTATGATGGGCTTCGTGTTTAGGGGTTGTCCCTTTCCACTAGTCACTGCTTGTGAAACTGCTTGTCATGCTTGGCAAAGGTGGCTACTAGGCTTATAAAAAACTTTCATATGGTAAGGCCAGAATCCTTGATTTAAAAAAAGTCAAAAAAAAAAGTCAAAAAAAAGTCAACTGGAAAAGTCAAAGTCAAAAAAGAGTCAAATTGAAAAGTCAAAAAAAAGTCAAAAAAAAAGACAAAAAAAAGTCAAACAAAAAATCAAAAATAAAAAAAGAAACAAAAATGTCCAGTCAAGCGACTCAGGAGCAAAAGAAA